CTGACTAATGAAATAAAAGCATATGAAAAATTTTAAAAATCAACAGTATAAGCAATACATAGCCATCTGCAGAGTATTCTAGTATTATGGTGGTAAATAATTTTATCACTTCGGTGAGAATAAAAATAACTATTTTTAAAACTATACCTACAAATTTTTATGGATAAAAGGTGAGGAGGAAGGGGTGCAATGTCAATCTTTTTGCAACTAAGCTTAAAACACCCTGTTTTAGGGGCCGGGGGTTTAGCTCAGTGGTTTCGCTGCCTGCTGCACAAGCACAAGGACCCAAGTTCGATCCCCGGCACCAAAAAAAAAAAAACACAAAAAAAAAACAGCCTGTTTTAACTTTACAATGTTTTATATAAACCTCATGATAGCCAAAAACCAAACAGCTATGTAGTACTTGCAGAAAAAATAAAGAGAGAATTCAAAGAAGATCACCCCCAAAAAACCATCAAAATGCAAGGAAGACAGCAAAGGAGGAAGAAAGAAACAAAGGATTTACAAAACAACCCTCTCAAAATATTATAAAATGGCAGTAGCATGTCCTTACCTGTAAATAACTACCTTGAAAATAAATGAATTAAATTTCCTAATCAAGCTAGGCAAACTGGCACTAGTCAGGAAGCTGACCAAGAGGATCACAAGTTTGAGGCCAGCCTAGGAAACTTAGCAAGACCCTGTCTCAAAATAAAATATTCAAAAAGAGCTAGGGGTATAGTTCAATGGTAGAGTAGCATGCAGGAGGTCTTGGGTTCAAACCCCAGTAAAAAAAATTTTTTTAAGGAAAGGAAGCCCCAATTAAAAGACAGAGTGATTAAATGGAAAAAATCATATCCAATCTATGCTGCCTATGAGACGCATTTGACTTTTTTTGGTGGGGGGGATCAAACTTGGGACCTTGTACTTGGGATGCAGGTGGCAGCACCATTGAGCTAAATCCCTGGCCCCACATTTGACTTTTAAGAAGACACATAGACTGGTTCCAGCGCCTGCCTCGAAAGCGCAAGGTCCTGAGTTCGATCCCTGGTACAAAAAAAAAGGACACACATAGACTGAAAATGGAGAGAAAGAAAACAATATTCCATACACACAGAAATCAAAGGGGGGGAGCAGGAAAAAAAATGTTAAAGGATAACTGGAAAGTAGAAGAGGGTATATTAAGGACTGGGAAAGAGGCCAGTGGGGAGGGGAGGAGAAGAGAAGGTAGACGTGATCAAACCATGATACAGGCATGTATGAAAATGTCACAGTGAAACCCATTGATTTGTATAATTAATGTGTTAATATTATCATTGCTTTAAAAAGAGAAATAGGGCAGGGATTTAGCTCAGTGGTTCTGCCACCTGCCTTGCAAGCAGAAGGACCCGAGTTCGATCCCTAGTACCAAAAAAAAAGGAGAGAGAGAAATAGTGATATATCAGAAAAATAAATTTAATTATTAAATGACCTAAAGGAAAAGATAAGAAATAAAAAATAAAAGGGGCCAGAAGAAAATTTTTACAAACCACTCACCTGATCAGGGATTAATATCCAGAATAAAGCAAACTTCACACAATAGCAAATAATAATAATTCAATTTTAAAATGGGCAAATGACTGAACAGGCATCTCTCCAAAGAAGATGATCAACAAATATATACAATGACCGACATGTATATGTAAAAATGCTGAACACACTGGTCATTAAGGGAATCCAAATCACAGCCACAATGAGATACCCTGGAGAATATTCAGTGAAATATTTTAGGCCCAGAAAGACAAATAGTATGTGTGTCTATTGCATGGGGAAGCTAAAAAGTTGATCTCATAGAAGGAGAGGGTAGAACAGTGGTTACCAGAGTCCAGAAGGGGTGGGGGAGACAATTAGTGGGTACAGGGAGCAGTTAGATAAAAGGGAATAATTTCTAATCTTCTGTACCACACGAGGGTACTTACAGTTAAATAAATTAATTGTGCATTTCGAAATAGTACAGGATTTTGAATGCTCCCAATACAATGAAATAATTGCTTGAGGTGGTAGATATCCCAACTAACCTGATCTGATCACCTCACACTGTATCCAAGAATTGGAATACCACACTGCACTGTACTCCATAAATACATACAAATTGTGCCAATTAAAGTCTTTTTAAATATTTAGAAAGATGGCTATAAATAGTTGTTCCTCTCATGAGGCTCAGCCTAGAGGAGTCAAGCTGAACAAGAAGCGATGGCCTCAAAATACTCCATCAGCTGGAACTGGGTTTTTGAAACCATCCCTGGGGGCACTGTGCTGAAACAGACTAGAAAGCAACCAGAGCCTGCATGGTCCGGGGACCCTGTCCTGCAGTGGACACACTGCGTGGACTGGCAGCCGGCTGGAGAAAAATGCAGTAACATTCCAGGGCTGGTCACAACAAGGAGACAGGTGGGAAAGGCAGCAAAGGAAAGTGAAACTTAAAGACCTGAGGAAGATGGGGAAGGGCAGGGTGATGAGCAGAGAGGATGCAGTTGAACCAAGCAGATGCAATGAGCATCTACAAGAGAAAAGGGGCTGAATATATCTCAAGGAAGCTGAATTTCCGAGCTGATCCCCTTATTCAAAACACTTGCTTTCGAACTCCCTAACCAATTTAGTGCCACCCTTGCTAAAATCTTTATCCTTAAAATGAGGGGAAGATAAGAATGGTGGCAATCGGGGTCTTCAGAGAGGTGGGAAAGAGCTGGGAGGGGCTGATGCAAGAAAGCTGCTTTAGTCTGGGTCTCTTTACTAGCTCAGCTCCTCATTGGCAGATACCATAGACTTGGGGGGGCGGGTGCCCCAAGATACCACTTTTCTTCTTCTCCTTTCCTCCTCCTCCTGCTCCTCCTCCCTGTCCTCCCTCTCCCTCTCTCTCTCTCTCTCTCTCTCTCTCTCTCTCTCTCTCTCTCTCTGTCTCCTCCCCCTCCTTTTCCTCTTCTTCCTCTTTTCCTTTCCTTCTCTCTT